ACACAAGATATTTTACCTGTGAATTCAAGTATTAACAATAAATTTAAAGATTCTTATATTGAATTCCGTATCTCAGGAGTTAAGGGTCAATTTATTGATCTTTCGAGCCTGACGTTAGAACTCATGCTTGAATTAACGGGACCTGACGGAATTTCGGCTTTAGCGGATATTAAAAATGCATCAATAGTTAACGGCTTGTCCCAGACAAAGTTTAAAGCTGTAACTGTTTATTTAAATGAGCAGGTGGTGGAAACTAATTCACTATTTTCATATTTATCGTATGTAAAGCTAATGACAACGCTTTCTGAATGTAAAGCTGAAAGATTCAAAGAACTAACGTATTTCTATAATGTTTTTCCTGAAAAAATATGATGCAGATTATTTTAAGAATGCCTCAGAGGACATTAAATCTAGATTTATAAAGTTAAAAACTGAGGGAGTAAACTGTTGCTTTAAACTGCTATTGGACATTACAACTTTGAGCGAATATCTTTTGGATGGAATTGATATTCGTTTGAGATTAGAACTTAACAGTGATCCGTGGGTTATAAACAGTATTGAATCTGGATACAAGTTTAACATTAAACTAGCTAGAATGTGGATTGATCGGATAACTCCGTTCACATCTGGATTGGAGGCTATTAATAGAGCTCTGGCTGAACAAAATACACCAGTTACTTATACTTTTAATAAGACACTCCACAAGACCTTCATTCTTGGGAATGGGCAGCAGAGATTAAGTATTGACCAGCCATGGGGGAGCATTATCCCGGATAAATTATTTATTATGATGATGGATATGGAGGTTATCTTGAGATGATTTCGGGGCTTTAGTGTCCCCGTGGCCCGGTCCTCGACCAGGCCTCCACCCCCAGGAAGCAGCCCGTGACAGCTGACTAACACCCAGGTACCTATTTTACTGCTAGGTAACAGGGGCATAGGGTCAAAGAAACTCTGCCCATTGTTTCTCGCCGGCGTCCGGGATCGAACCCGGGACCACAGGATCACAAGCCCAGTGTGCTGTCCGCTCGGTCGACCGGCTCCCCTCTCCAGATATGGAAGCCATATCTGGAGCGTATACACTTAATCCACTTTATTTCGATCACTGCGATTTATCTAATGTATATATTACTCGCGATGGGACAAATTTATTTATTATAACTTGCAAGTTCCCGAATAAATGTTCGAAACTATACTATGAGATTCAAAATACAGTAGGCTTTAACGCATGTAATACCTTGACATATAATTCATTTATAAAAGGAAGAACATTACTGGCATTTAGACGAACGCCTGAGGAATTGAGAAATACCCTTCCTATAGAGGCTTCGGGCAACTTGAGAATTACGCTAGAATTTGCTGTTCCAGTGAAATCAAATAAAGTTATTATTTTATTCGGAAATACAACGGGAGTATTGAGAATTTATTCTGATAGGCGAGTCGTGTGCGATACAAGAGCATGAACTGCAAACAAATTAATATGGCATTGAACAATATGACGGATAATAAAGCTGAATATATTGGATGCTATTTAGCGACGGATATATATTGAATAATGAAACAAATACAGGACAGCCCGATTATGTTTATAATAAATACCTTAGGAAGAGACTCTAAGGAAGTAATGGGCCACTGGATTGCTGTATATAAATCTAAACGGAAAATAGTTATACTAGATTCTTATTTAATAAATGTGTATTCGCCCTACATTTCAGAGTTTTTAAATTATTATAAAGACTGCGATGTATACACGTTTACAGAGCGACTTCAGAGTTTAAATACATACGTATGTGGGGTATATGCGATGTTTTTCTGTTATCATCTTTCAAACAAGGATCTAAAAACTGCATTAAAGCTATTTGAAACTAGTTTTACTTATGGAGATTATATGCAGAATGATAGGAACGTAATGAGGCTATCTTATGCTTTATTTAAAAATATGCCGAGCTGCTATGAAACGCTGTATTACGATAAGAGCGATATTTGTTGGAAAATGTGCTTGGAGACAACGGATTGAATGAGGCTACAGACGACTTAAATAACGGAAAATGGTGAGTACATTTGTTTGAGGTTTTTACGTGTTTGATGAATATTGTACATGTATAAACGCTATCTAAACTGTTATTCTTTTATTTACAGAGATGAGGAATGAATAGGACGGATATTATACAAGTAAATTGAGGAGCGAGCTTCTGTTAACTTCAGGATAAATGAGTCGTTTATTATAAATTGTGTAAACTAAAATTAGATGACTAAATAAAATAAAAAAAAATAAATATGTTTTATTAATGCCTAATGTATATATATAAATTATTACGGTGGTGAACGCCAGCAATGACAGGCAGATGACGGGGCAGGTAATCAGGTGTTGAAGGCCTCGGGGCAGGTAGCCTGGGGCGGCTTAGGTAGCCTTGGGACAACTTAAGTATTAAAGGTTACATTGAGACGCCTCGGTTGATTTGTGTAAAACTGACTCGTTTAATGTAAAGGAACAAACATTATGATGTCTAAAAGAGCTGTACGGAATTATGAATGAACAATATGAAGAAGGAGAGGGGGTACGGTAACAGGTAGAGAGAGGAAGGAGGGACGGTCCGGATATTATGGAGAAGATAAGATTATGGAGGTGACCTGCAGGCAGCGTCTGGCTGGTGGTGTAAGGTAAACACAGGTGATGCGGGAGGTTGGGGGGTAAGGGGGAGGGAGGGGGTGTGAGGTAGGAGCAGGAGATGCAGGGGGTTGGGAGGGGGATGGCAGGATAATGATTCAGTTATATAGACATTGGACCAGCTAGTTTCTAAGTAAGAATTCTACTTAAATGTATACAGCCTAAATATCTGTTTATTCTTGGTATGAACTCTGAAATTTGAATTTCTCCCATAAGAACTCTTAACAAACTTCTATGACATTATTTTTATCATAAGAACTCATAACAAACTTCTATAATCTCAGAAATTATTTTCCTCATAAGAATTCCTTAATTCCAAATCTGTGACTGGCCAAATTTACCTGAAACCCATGACGCCGTATGCGCCTCATTCAAAAAATCGGCGAAAACCCTGACGCCGTATGCGCCTCATTTGCCCAAAATCCAATGAGGCGCACGCGGCTTCATCCCTACTACTTAGGTGTTGACCAACAAGGTGCAGGTGTTGACCAACAAGGTGCGGGTGTTGACCAAGAAGGACACTGCCGCCTCCTGTTGCATGTCTCAAGTGAAAATGAGTAGTGTAGACGTAGTCATGAGGGCCGGGGGAAGGGGGGGGGTGTACACCACCACACTGGACGGCCCCTCCGCTACTCTGGAGGTTGTGTTAGAGAACCTTACGACTCTGCCTTAAGGCACTACTTTCTCCAACATTTAGTCTTTTCTGTCTTGACCGGTCCGTCACAGAGGGCCAGTCCATCACTGAGGGCCGGTCCATCACAGAGAGCCGGTCCGTCACAGAGGGCCGGTCCATCACTGAGGGCCGGTCCATCACAGAGAGCCGGTCCATCACTGAGGGCCGGTCCATCACAGAGAGTCGGTCCATCACAGAGGGCCGGTCCATCACTGAGGGCCGGTCCATCACAGAGGGCTGGTCCATCACAGAGGGCCGGTCCATCACTGAGGGCCGGTCCATCACAGAGGGCCGGTCCATCACAGAGAGTCGGTCCATCACAGAGGGCCGGTCCATCACAGAGGGCCGGTCCATCACAGAGGGCCGGTCCATCACAGAGAGTCGGTCCATCACAGAGGGCCGGTCCATCACAGAGGGCCGGTCCATCACAGAGGGCCGGTCCATCACAGAGGGCCGGTCCGTCACAGAGGACCGGTCCGTCACAGAGGACCGGTCCATCACAGAGAGCGGGCCATCACAGAGGACCGGTCCATCACAAAGGGCCGGTCCATCACAGAGGGCCGGTCCATCACTGAGGGCCGGTCCATCACAGAGGGCCGGTCCATCACAGAGGGCCGGTCTGTCACAGAGGGCCGGTCCATCACAGAGGGCCGGTCCATCACAGAGGGCCGGTCCGTCACAGAGGGCCGGTCCGTCACAGAGGGCCGGTCCATCACAGAGGGCCGGTCCATCACAGAGGGCCGGTCCATCACAGAGGGCTGGTCCATCACAGAGGGCCGGTCCATCACAGAGGGCTGCGGTCCATCACAGAGGGCCGGTCCATCACAGAGGGCCGGTCCATCACAGAGGGCTGGTCCATCACTGAGGGCCGGTCCGTCACAGAGGGCCGGTCTGTCACAGAGGGCCGGTCCATCACAGAGGGCCGGTCCATCACAGAGGGCCGGTCCATCACAGAGGGCCGGTCCATCACAGAGAGCCGGTCCATCACAGAGGGCCGGTCCATCACAGAGGGCTGGTCCATCACAGAGGGCCGGTCCCTCACAGAGTGCTGCGGTCCATCACAGAGGGCCGGTCCATCACAGAGGGCCGGTCCATCACAGAGGGCCGGTCCATCACAGAGAGCCGGTCCATCACAGAGGGCCGGTCCATCACAGAGGGCTGGTCCATCACAGAGGGCCGGTCCATCACAGAGGGCTGCGGTCCATCACAGAGGGCCGGTCCATCACAGAGGGCCGGTCCATCACAGAGGGCTGGTCCATCACAGAGGGCCGGTCCGTCACAGAGGGCCGGTCCATCACAGAGGGCCGGTCCATCACAGAGGGCCGGTCCATCACAGAGGGCCGGTCCATCACAGAGGGCTGGTCCATCACAGAGGGCCGGTCCATCACAGAAGGCTGGTCCATCACTGAGGGCCGGTCCGTCACAGAGGGCCGGTCTGTCACAGAGGGCCGGTCCATCACAGAGGGCTGGTCCATCACAGAGGGCCGGTCCATCACAGAGGGCTGGTCCATCACAGAGGGCTGGTCCATCACAGAGGGCTGGTCCATCACTGAAGGCCGGTCCATCACTGAAGGCCGGTCCATCTCTTCGTTCAACTTTCTCCTGGCACCTTTTCCTTCACCAGATCTGGTCTTCAGCGGCGGCGGCAGGAATGAGCACATGCACCAGGGCAAGGAGCTGGCCTTTCTAGTGGATGTTCCCATTGATATAGATCACGTTAGTGTGATGAGTGTTGCTGAGGATGGGGCGTGAGGTGTGTGGGACCACTCCGGCCTGCCACCAGGGTGCTTGTGGCCCACAGGTCAACACTTGGTCTGGCCTCAGTAGCGTCCTCCAGACTTCCTGTCATCTCAGTAGGATCCGGTTGTACTTGAACAGGTCGCTGGTGGTCTAGTGGTAGAGTGTGCGGCCTGGCGGAGCCACAGTCGTACACTCGCGCCCTCCTCATTGCCCTCGTGGATTTTGTCATTGATATATACCAAGTTAATGTGATGTTTGTGGGGCAGTGGCTCCTTCTGCACTATAACTGATCGATGTGATATCCTCCCTTTGGCTCCGGGTTCAGAGAGTGCTGAGGAGGATAATAATTGGTGTACAATCCGTGGTGTACAATAAGTAACAGAAAAACTACCACAAAGCAAGTGGTAATGTAGTTCCAGTATACAAAAAGGGACGAGAGGCAAGAGGCACTGAACTACAGGTCAGTGTCCCTAACTAACCTAACCATGCAAGGTGATGGACTAGATAAAGCAAGGTAATTTGCAGGGGAAAGCTCTAATTAATTACGAAATATAGCGGTTTGAATAAGGGTAAAGATTGAGGATGGGACGGAGGGAAGAAATGGTGTCCAACCACTTGGACGGTCGGGAATTAAACGCCGAGAAGCGAGACCGTCGCTCTATCCGCTCTATCTATCAGGGAACAGTGTAAGAGGCCGAGGGAACAGTACAAGGGGCCGAGGGAACAGTACAAGGGGCCGAGGGAACAGTACAAGGGGCCGAGGGAACAGTACAAGGGGCAGAGGGAACAGTACAACGGACCGAGGGAACATTACAAGGGGCCAAGGGAACAGTGCAAGGGGCAGAGGGAACAGTACAAGGGGCCGAGGGAACAGTGCAAGGGGCAGAGGGAACAGTCCAAGGGGCAGAGGGAACAGTGCAAGGGGCCGAGGGAACAGTGCAAGGGGCCGAGGGAACAGTACAAGGGGCCGAGGGAACAGTACAAGGGGCCGTGGGAACAGTGCAAGGGGCCTAGGGAACAGTGCAAGGGGCTGAGGAAACAGTACAAGGGGCAGAGGGAACAGTACAAGGGGCAGAGGGAACAGTACAAGGGGCCGAGGGAACAGTGCAAGGGGCCGAAGGAATAGTACAAGATGCCGAGGGAATAGTACAAGGAGCCGTGGGAACAGTACAGGGGGCCGAGGGAACAGTACAAGGGGCCGAGGGAACAGTGCAAGGGGCCGAAGGAATAGTACAAGATGCCGAGGGAACAGTACAAGGAGCCGTGGGAACAGTACAGGGGGCCGAGGGAACAGTGCAAGGGGCCGAGGGAACAGTGCAAGGGGCCGAAGGAATAGTACAAGATGCCGAGGGAACAGTGCAAGGGGCCGAGGGAACAGTACAAGGGGCCGAGGGAACAGTGCAAGGGGCCGAGGGAACAGTGCAAGGGGCCGAGGGAACAGTACAAGGGGCCGAGGGAACAGTACAAGGAGCCGAGGGAACAGTACAAGGGGCCGAAGGAATAGTACAAGATGCCGAGGGAACAGTACAAGGGGCCGAGGGAACAGTACAAGGGGCCGAAGGAATAGTACAAGATGCCGAGGGAACAGTACAAGGGGCCGAGGGAACAGTACAAGGGGCCGAGGGAACAGTACAAGGGGCCGAAGGAATAGTACAAGATGCCGAGGGAACAGTACAAGGAGCCGAGGGAACAGTACAAGGAGCCGAGGGAACAGTACAAGGGGCCGAAGGAATAGTACAAGATGCCGAGGGAACAGTACAAGGGGCCGAGGGAACAGTACAAGGGGCCGAGGGAACAGTACCAGGGGCCGAGGGAACAGTACAAGGGGCCGAGGGAACAGCACAAGGGGCCGAGGGAACAGTACAAGGGGCCGAGGGAACAGTACCAGGGGCTGAGGGAACAGTACCAGGGGCCGAGGGAACAGTACAAGGGACTTAGTATTATTCTCACACATTTACGTTTTCTTTAATGAAGAGTAAATGACCTGTGGGGAATTTGGAGATGTGAGCCCGGCTAGTGAGGTGAGTAGGGGGGCGGGGTCATCCCCCCCTTGATGGGGTTGTGGGGGTGGAACTAGTTGTTGGGGGCGCCGCAGCAAGTCTGCCAACACTCCTGAACCACCCACCTGCTTCCACCTCCCCCTGCCTACACGCCACACCCACCTCCACCTGTCTAAACCACCCACCTGCATGATCCGTATAGAAAAGCTGACTACCACAGAACATCATGTATAGCTGGTAGGCGAAACGCTTCCTAGTCGCGGCCACGTCGCACAAGCTAAGAGGAGCCGTGGGCGCCGTGACTGGTGGCCCGGAGTGACACATCAGCGAGTGTGTGCGCCCGAGCCGCTGCTGACGAAGGGCGAGAGGTGCAAGAACAACGCTAACGTCGTCACCACCAGGTAAGAGACCAACCCCTGGGCGGGGATGAGGAGACCCGTGTGAGCAGCCACGAGCACAGACGCGCTAAAGACGTCGCTCCAGGGAGGACGCGTCCACACAATGGCTATAAGAAGATGAGAAAGTAATCCCCAGGCGGACTTAAGACGTGCGGCCGGAGAGCCAATTGTGGAGACAGTTTACGTCGAGGCCAAAAGAATGCGTTTGTGACTATGTTATATACCTCTAGTTAGTGTTGTTGTTGCTGTCTTCAGGTCTAAGCGTGTGGCAACAGCACGATTTCCCATATAAAAAAACACTATACCAAATAGACTTCTAAATCGATAAGAATATCAGTCAATTATGTATTTCATGCCCATCCTGTGAGCGGTAGTGGACCCCATACTCATCCTGTGAGCGGTAGTGGACCCCATACTCATCCTGTGAGCGGTAGTGGACCCCATACTCATCCTGTGAGCGGTAGTGGACCCCATACTCATCCTGTGAGTGGTAGTGGACCCCATACTCATCCTGTGAGTGGTAGTGGACCCTATACCCATCCTGTGAGCGGTAGTAGACCCATACCCATCCTGTGAGTGGTAGTGGACCCCATACTCATCCTGTGAGTGGTAGTGGACCCCATACCCATCCTGTGAGTGGTAGTGGACCCCATATTCATCCTGTGAGCGGTAGTGGATCCCATACTCATCCTGCGAGCGATAGTGGACCCATACTCATCCTGTGAGTGGTAGTGGACCCCCCCATACTCATCCTGTGAGTGGTAGTGGACCCCCCATACTCATCCTGTGAGTGGTAGTGGACCCCCCATACTCATCCTGTGAGTGGTAGTGGACCCCCCATACTCATCCTGTGAGTGGTAGTGGACCCCCCCATACTCATCCTGTGAGTGGTAGTGGACCCCCCCATACTCATCCTGTGAGTGGTAGTGGACCCCCCATACTCATCCTGTGAGTGGTAGTGGACCCCCCATACTCATCCTGTCGATGAGTATGAGGTCTCAAACCGTCAAATGTTTCTAATAAATAATTTAGGCTGAAGAGAGGTAGATCTCTACAGTGATGATCATTGTATTTTCAAAAAGGGGTTGCGGAATACGGACCCTGAGGGTGGGCGGGAGGGCGGGCCCCGGGTGGGCGGGAGCGCGGGCCCCGGGTGGGCGGGAGCGCGGGCCCCGGGTGGGCGGGAGCGCGGGCCCCGGGTGGGCGGGAGCGCGGGCCCCGGGTGGGCGGGAGCGCGGGCCCCGGGTGGGCGGGAGAGAGGGCCGCGGGTGGGCGGGAGCGCGGGCCGCAGGTGCACGACTGAGCCATGGGCGGGCAGTGGGAGGAGAGCGGGCGGCCGGGCGGGTGAAGAGGAGGTCAAGGCGGAGAACCATTACTTAGTGTGTTGTGTCTCAGGCTGTGAGGAGGACGGAGGTGTTTGTACTTAGTGAGTGGAGAGTTAATTACCACATGACAGTAGCGGAGTGAAACTCCCTGATTATGTACGTAAGTTAACTATGTAATTTTGTTCACTCTTTTTATTATACTACTATTTAACATATCCTTTTATTCTACTATTTTAGTCTACTATTTTAGTCTACTATTACCCCTATCTTTCATTAGTATCTATTATGTATCTTTATATCTATTTTAATAATATTGTTATTTCCTCTTAATATCTACTCTTAAGCTGTATTCTGATCTGAACTCCCTGAATGGTATCCTTAATTTCACTGAACATTCTTTCCATATTTTTTTCTCTCTATTTTAATACATGTACGATCTAAATTTATTTTTCCTCTTTTTCAGTTTGCTCACTTACATCTTCCCATCTTGTTACTTTGCATCATCTTTGCAATATTAACCCCTCCTTGTACATTCAGGACCTTGTAGACTGAACACTTATCTCCTACATGAAAAAAGGAGCTTCCTATCCGCTATACAGTCTATGGGAGAAAACACTACTTTCACTGAACGATTATCTTTATTTATTTTTACTGTATGACCTATTTGAAACTTGTACGATCTATTTTGATTTTCCCTTTAAATTTTGCTCACTTGCAACTTCTATTTTTAACATGTTGCACGATCATGATCTTACAATAGCTGGCGACATATGGCAACCTTTGCAACATCTGGCAAACTTTGCAGCATCAACCAGAGCACATTCCTGGAACTTGCTTCATTGCATGCATCTTTACAATGTTGATTGCCGGAATGGAGAGGACCCTCGTAGTCCTCATTTCCCCTACTATACTGTCCCGGAATTATTCCTAACACACAGTTACCGGAGGCTATTACCCTCGCTTTTGATTTTTCCTGAGCTCCAAACTTTAAAAACCTAACTCAAGTATTTAATTCTAAACCCTTCTTTTTTCAGCACAGACTTGATACCTTCTTTGGTTGACAAACCTTTCCAGGTGGAACCAGGAGCCACCATATCTAATATGGACACTGAAAGCAGACTACCGACAAGACAGAGGCAGCTCTCGACAAGAGATGAGGAGAACCTGACAACCAACAGGAACTGGCCCAGCATCTCCACACAACCCGATCCCACCATACCTAATGGACAACCTTATTGACGACCTGAGCGACGGAGACCCACATGCCTGGATGGATTTCGTGCCAATCATGAATGAAGAGCAAGGTAACTAGGCAGGTTTTCCCACTGAACGCCCTGAAAGGAGTCTGGGAAGATAGGAGAGAGTGGGAAGGACCAGGATCACGAGCACACAGGTTCCTTCAATTCCAGACAAACACCGAGGTGCGAGTGGCTGCCCACTAAGTATTACTGGATCCTCAGTCCAGAAGCTAAGTGTCCTTCACACACCCATTTTAAATAACAAAGAAATTGATATTGTCATGCTCCTAAAGTCATTCTTTACACCCATAGAATACTTAAACAAATCAAGCACATCCACCAAGCAGACATGATGGATACCGACTATCTTGGGCTCCACGTAATCTTCCCTTTCTTTTCAATACATCTCCCCATTTTCCCAGTAAGCAATGATTACATTACTGACCTTATCATAGGCCATGCTAAAAGGATGATGACTGCCAATGCTATGCTACTTAAGGCCTCTCATGTCTAAAAAGTTTTAAAAATTGAACTTATAATCTCTCAGTTATCTAATAGAGGCATGGATGAGAGATGGATAGTATGGGAGGCGTATAGGAGACGATTACATCCTAAAATAGAGAATTTCCACAAGGCCACATAGAGATAAGACCAGGACAGACTAACTCAGTTTACTCCTCCTTCCAGAAGACCCCGCATAATGGTACAGTAATTTCACAAATGTCAGCTGTAAATGACATCCTGGAAGAGCCAAGACAACCTGAAGCACACCCAGCAGCCATGACAATGTAGCCAAGGTCAAGTTGTTTACAACAGACAGCTGAACTGGTGGAGAGACAGAGGTCACCGAGGGACACGCTCAAATCAAAACGACACAGACGAAAGAGGAGAAAACAGAGGGTGGACCTCCAGAGGCAGCAAGGCAGAGGAGGATACCAAGGCAGAGGGAAACAAGATGGAGGATGGCACAACAAAATTCGATTGGTGCAACAGCAGAGGATGAAGAGCAAACTAAAAGCTATCATTTTTATAAAAATAAGACTTTCAAGAACAGAGAAAACAGTAATCAGTGAGAGCCTCTCTTTGTTAGCGGTCCATCTCCTCTAACAAAACCAAGGGCGGCAATAGACTCAGTGTTCATAGATTTAGAAAACAAAATTAATAATGTTTGGGAAAAAGCGACAATAAACCTAAGAAAAAATGTCCCTGGACCCATCCAACCCCGGCACGGGGAACGTCCAACCCCGGCACGGGGAACGTCCAACCCCGGCACGGGGAACGTCCAACCCCGGCACGGGGAACGTCCAACCCCGGCACGGGGAACGTCCAACCCCGGCACGGGGAACGTCCAACCCCGGCACGGGGAACGCTTCTTTATCCTATAAATACCTTCATCCGACGGGGGGGGGGGCGGGGACAATATACTACACCTTTTAAAATGGTAGGCTTGAGTGAACAGATTGAATCAATGAACAGTACGTTGTTAACCAAAATTACTAATAGAAAACGTTTGAATCTTTCAAGAAAGGAACTACAGACCTTAAGCTCCTTGAAAAACAGGGATGACATTGTTATCTGTCTCTGATGCTTCGACAGGTAGATGACAAGTCAACTTAACTACAAGTACAAGACCCGCAGGTGGCGCTTAAAAAAAAACACAAACACGAAGCATTGAAATTGAAATTGAAATAAGTTTATTGAGGTAAAATACACACAAAGGGATGAGGTAGCTTAAGCTATTCTCACCCCGTTCAGTACATCGTGTTAATACATACATAGACACACATCACAAGCAATAAACGTATTACCGAACATTCTGAGAGATAAACATATACATTTCCTTAACACGAAGCAAAAAAAAAATGAATACTAAACCACACAGGAATAAAGATGACAGGTCTGGGGGTAGTAGGTCTGGGGGTAGTAGGTCTGGGGGTAGTAGGTCTGGGGGTAGTGGGTCTGGGGGTAGTAGGTCTG